ACTGATTGCAAAGTCCATCTGCAGCAAACTCATGACTTAGGCATTCTACATCCATTGGAGAAATGACTCATTCATTTAATATTCAACATTACAGTCTTAGGTGTAACACGACACTCGTTTAACAACAGTAGCTCTTGTAATTGGACTCAAAACCAATTCTGAAAGAAGTTTAGCAAAATAAATGTAAACAGGAGACATTTAAACAAAAACAAGATCATTTGAAACAAAGGATGCTTGCCATTGACAGTGACTGTGGTGGAACAGATTTATTAATTATTTTCTTCTTCCCATTTAGGTGTGGACATTTTGGTAATTATCTGGGACTCCTGCATGTGGCTTTTGATTATCAAGACTTACCTTCAGCACAGAGGAAATAACTAAGGATTGTGAGGCATTTTCTTTGTTAATACAGTAACATTTATCTCATTCCTTCCACATATAAATAAATCTTAACGGCCTTTACAAAAATACAATTAATTAGAAATTAAATGCATGTTGCTGTGAAGGCAAACACAGCAACTAATCAGTGCAGATAAACAACAATGAGACAAATGGTCAATTCTCCAGATAAAATTGTTCACTTGCTTTGTGGCTGGCTGGCGTGTTTGCTTACAAATACACAGTGACTGCATTTTACAGTGGTAAATGGTGTTTAATTATGGATGATTATGTTATATATGGTCATGACTATAAGCGTTGATTCGTATGATTATGGGTAATGTACTCACTGTCGTTTAATAAAGAGAATGGGCAAGTGAATGACCTATAAAACCCCTGAAGTCAGCAATAAAATGGAACCTAGGGGTCAGCAGGCTGGTACAAACTGGTTTAGAACTATTAAAGAAGTTATACAAAGTTATATTTTCCAGAACAAAGAAACATGTGAGAAATCAATTTCAAGGCCAGGACAGGGAGACTGGGACGAGGAAATTAGGTGTCAGGAGAAGAGTCATGGGGAGCAAAGGAGGGGTACCGATACAATGAACACCATGTGCAGAATACGATGAGCAGATCTGAAGAAAGGTAACAGTCCAAAGGTGATGTGACTGTAAGAGTCAGTACTTTTAGAAATCTGAGTGAAGTTGTCTAGGATCGGGTAGAGAACAGAGGAGGAGCTCTGTGGTCAAACTTGCGAAGGGCTGATTTCTCCAACCGAAACCACAGAAACTCAAGATTGGAGAACGACTCCTCGGAGGACAAGCAGGAGGGCTGAAGGAGGGAGAACCACACGGACTCCGAGTTAAAACTCAGAGACCAGCGAGCAGGCAGTCTGAGGCTGTAGCCTTTTTTTTCTGCGCTCCTTTGTTCTTACATCTATGCTCAAGGACCCGATTGCTCATTATCTCAGAGGAGTGGACATCTTCCCAAGAAAATATGAAATGTAATCAGAAGCTAACCTCAATCCATCCAGCAAAGCTACTTTTAACCAAACCTTCTGGAACATTCGGTTGCTGTTTGAAATATACCAAGGCACCCTGAGGTGATAGTCGGTATACTTCAACACAGTCAATCTACAGCATGCTAAGGTGCTGTATCAAATGCAAGGGTTATAATCATTACAGAAATTTGAATTTGGGTTGTAAATTTTGCTTTAGGAGAGCAATATAAGACGGACTAAATGAGGGGAGAGCAGATCAATGTATTTTACAATTTTACTTTTATAGAGCGCCTTTTAACTTTTACAGAGCATTGGGAGGATGTCTCAAAAACGCTTTGCAGAGCCCAATTTGTGTCACATTTTCGTTCCGAGTCAGCAGGTTGTGGTTTCAAGCCCATGTTGGGACTTGCATCAACACAGTGTGAGCTGACACTCCGATGCGGCCCTGGGGGTGTGTTCCATTGTCAGTGGTGCCATCCTTCAGATGAGATGTTAAACCGAGGTCCCATTGGCCTATTCAGGTGGGCGTTAAATCCCATGGCTCTGTCTGTAAAGAAAAGGGAGATTCTCTCTCCAGGTGTCCTGGCCAACTGTCCCCCAAATAAAATTGTTGACTCACTCCATGGCTGTTTGTGGTACACTGTTTGTGGAGTCCTGTAGCTCAGTGGTTAGAGCACTCGCTTTGCAAGCGAGAGACCTGAGTTCAATTCCAGACAGGGCGAAACCTTGGGCAAGTTTCCTTACTCCACACAGAGCCTAATAATAATCCCTCCAAAAAAACAAAACAATAATAAATTGGACATTTTCAATCCACAACTGTCTGTGGGACGCTGCTGTGCGCAATTGCCTGCCGCGTTCGTCCACAAATATACAGTCAATTCACTTTACAGTATATTCTGTGAAGCGCTTTGGGACGTCGAGAAGACGTGAAAAGCGCTATATCAAATGCAAGGATTATTATTACACCGCTGTACACAACCGGCTGCCTCAATTCACCCACAAAATGCACAATCAATCCATTCTGCGGTATATTTGCATGAAGCGGTTTCAGACGTCTCAATGCTGTAATAAGGCGCTATATAATCAAACGCAAGGATTATTATTATTATTATGATGATTATT